ACTATATGAAAGAAACAGTTACGCTAGGTATGCACTAGCGCATATACAGGCCAGTTAGTTTACGGTAACAATTACAAAAACAACTCAAAAAGTAAGCTGCCACAAAAGATCGAACTTTATTTAAGCTTAAGAGGACTTAACAGCCTTAGCTTTGGGTGGTCCACTGCGAAATCCATTCCTGAACCGCCTGTGTACCTGCTTAATATGCAAAGCGCGGCCGGTACCGGTAGTCTTCCTTCTGCGGGCCTTCTCAGACCAGTTATACTTCCTCAGGCGAGCAGCAGGGTAACCGCATGCGGCACACACTTTCTTCTGATTGTGGAAAGATTTTCTACCACACCTCCGGCACTGTGTGTGCGTCTTGTTGTGACGCTTACCGAAGGAAGTTGTTCCCTTTGTCATTGTAAAACTACAGAAAGACAGAAAAGTTACAAGCCGCTCACGTCAACAGTTAAATGTCAAAAACAGGACAAACACGCTTACACCCCGCACTCCTTCGAATCTGTGGACCTGACTGATTCAAACAAACGTTCGATTCAATCACACATTAAAGGTTGCAGAGACAACGTAACTGTAGCCAGTGGATTTTCCCAAATTCCCGAAGTTAGATAATATTGTTAACGAACTGTATAAACAGCATTCTGAGAGTTTTCCTACCAGCATTATGTTTTTTTAATAGCGTTTTTTTCGAAAAGTTCAGTTGGAACGTATTGAAGCCTAACCAACACATGTAATATGATCCTAGCTTCTCGTGGTTAAAAGGAACAATAGATATAAATGAATAATTTTATGTACATATCTTAACTAATTTTCGTTCACTGGTGACCCATAGTCATCGCCTTGAGTAATACTGCTGCATGTTGTTATTGTCAGGATCACCCAAAATGGAAGGCAGGCATTGCTGGGTAAGAAAAGTTTGAGTTAATTGTACGTAGTTTTTCGATAGATTCTACGGGGTTTAGTTGATAATAACTTACACTGAGGCATGTTGTCAGGAATTGTCATGGAACTTCGAGGTTTAGAAGAAGAAGATGCGGCCACTGGAACAAGAGTCTTATTTTCCTGACGTTTCAGACTCCGTCGGTACTTGCACATTCACTTCTATTGGCAACTTAGAGGTTTGTCGAGACAGAATATGCTAGCATGAAATGCATGCCAGATTTAGCTTCAGGACCTATGGTTATCCTACGAGATTAATCTATTCTCATTTTGGATACTTTTTTTATTAAATCAAAAGTAATGCTTGATTAAGTGACTATAAAATAATTAGCGTTGGTCAAAATCGGGATAATAACAGTAGAAAGGCTAAAGGTTTACAATCCGTACGTAATCCCGTATTCTATGATGGCTTCCGATAATGTGGTTGTTTACCGTATTGCCGAGATTTGCGTTCAAATTCTACAGAAATCTACATTCGAACTGTTTGTTTGTCGTGGTTTATGTGAGTCAGGCTGCGAGAAAATGATCAAAGAGCAGTACAATATGATCACTAACGCCCATTAGCGGAGCTCCTGCAGTTATAGCACAGTCTCTTCATGGCCTGTGAACAACAGGGACAAACTATTAGAACGTTGCCTTGTATTGGGC